AAAAAAAATGCAGACATTCTAACCTAATTGTTTGTATCCTCACATTAACCTGAATAAATAAATAAATAAATAAATAAAAGTTTATATAAAAGGGAAACAACAACAAAAGAGATGGTGTAGTTGCTTGGAAAGAGCATTGGACAAAGAGTCCCAGCGGTAGCCCCGATTCACTGGGTGGTCTTAGCAAGCCACTTGTTTTCTATGAGCCTTCGACCTCATTTTCAAGAAGAGAAGATTGAATAGATAATTGCTAAGGGCCTCGAATCTGTGATTTTAACATCCTATATCCCTGACACCCTGCTCCACCTCAGGCTCTTTTGATATCTGCTCCGTGGACCCCAATGAGCTGGATTCAAATCCCACTTCTGACACTCATCTGCTGTTTGACCTTGGGCGGTGGCCTTCTTTTTCTAAGCTAAAATATTCTTATCTATAAAACAAGAATAAGGATAGTGCCCTCCCCGGGTCATTGAGAGACATTAATGCAATCGTATTATAAAATGCCTGGGCTGGCACATAGCAAGTGCTCTGGAGACGCGAGTCCTCCCTTCCCCACACGTTCCTTGTACCCCATCAGTCATAGAGCCGCTTTGCTATCCCTATATGGTCAGGAGTGTGTAGAGGGAAATAATCCTGATAACTTGGCCAGAGCCGAGCTCCTCGAAGAACACCTTACACAGAATCTAATCTCAGAGCAATAAATCAGTCCCAGCCACAGCGTAATCATGGCACCAGGCACGTCTCCCCACCTCTGGGTTTTATTCAGCCACAGCGGTGTTCTTTGAGCAGCTGGGTTGCACCTGTTCTGTCCAACTGGGAATTTAATCCCGAAGCCAAATTCAGAGCCAGAGCCACCCTTCTGCCAGGGTTTGCGGGGCAAAAGGGAAGAGGTATTTTCCTTGAGAAAGGGAGAAACTTGGTTAATTGAAATAACCTACAAACATGCCTCCCAGAGCCATGTCAGTAAAAACCAGCCTGGATCCAGGCCAGTTACCATCATCTCAAGGACTGCCCAGGTTCTTTGTATGTATTGAAAATTTGTCAGGTCTTATGTGCCTTGAAATTAAGGAACCTCTCATTTGTTGTTTGGAAATCTTTATGATCATAAAGAAATATAGTACCAGATCAGTTGTTCTGATAATACTAGTAACGCCATCAGGAAAAATATTAACCAAAAGTTCCAGCATACACCAGTGCTGCCACTTACCACATGTGAGCTTGGGTATTATTTAACTGCTCTGGGCCTCAGTTTCCTCACCTAAAAAGTGGGGCTAATAGTAGCACCCTCCTGACAGGATTCTTCTAGGGTCCCAATAAGTTCTCACATGTGAAATGTTTCAGGTGGGCCTGGGACAGAGTGCCTAGTCCATAAATATTATTTGCTGTTGTTAGCAGTATTGCTATAACTATGTCATGATTCCGTCTAGACACTTCCCCAGAAAACTGCTTTCCTCATCTAATTTTTTATTCAATTTTAGGGACTTGGGGGACCTTTCTGATTCTATCTATGCTCTCAGGAAGGATCTGAGACCCAGGGAAAAGCATAGGGCCTGTTCAGCCAGGAGACCCTCTGATTTTGATTCTGCTACTCACACCCTTCGTGGCCGTGGGCATGTTGCTCTCCCTCTCTGGACACCAGGACCCTTTTTTTTAGGTTTTTTAGGTTTTTTTAGGTTTTTTAGGTTTTTTTAGGTTTTTTAACCTATGCAATTGGGGTGTTGGATTATATATAGATTTATTTTAACTCTAAGGTTTTGCATTTCTGAGAGGTGACCACATCACTGGACGCTCCAAGTTGATTCTTTGCAGTTGGGATTTAGAGCGTGACATGTCAATTCCTGGGTCCCCATCTGAGCCCTAAGGCCATCCAGGCTTTCTTCATTTGTTTAGGGACCTCACCTCTTTGAGCTTCAGTTTCATCTCTCACAAGAGGGTAATGGTAGTATCTACATCACAGGATGTTAAGAGGATTAATTAGCACCTATCCGAGCAGCCTTGGCACACTGGCCTCAGGACCTTTTAGCTAATGTCCTGGGGAGGTTGATACTGCTCACACCACAATAACATTGTCACCATGCTTTCTAGATGCAGGCATAAGATGCCACATCTCATTTGATCTTGTAACAATCTCCTAAGGGCCTTCCGGATAAAGACGCAAAGTCAAAGGGGCGGGGCCAAGGTCATTCAGCTGGTCCGCAGCATCCTCTGATTCATCCACCATACCCAGACTGAACTCATGGTATCCCTCACAGCCTGGTTAATAATTCCAGGTTCCTTCCTTAATTCTGAAGAAAGTCAGAAAGAGAATTCTTTTATGGGGCTTCCCAGGCTTGTCCTGGAAAAGTATCTCTAAACCTCTCCGAGATAAGCTCTCCTTCTCCGTCAATGTAAGTAAGTGATAAAACAAGGAAGGTGGTGGTGAGGGTGATAAGGATGGGAAACACCCTCTCGTGGGAGATAAGATGAGTGAGCGAGATTCACATGTGGGTCCCTGAGATGAGCCGGGCAGGGTCTTGCTCTTCAGAAGCTATCCCTGCCTTTAGCCTAGGATTTGCCTCCAATCTGCATGGCGCCTTTGGTCTCCATCTTTGAGAACGTGATGTGCAATGTGATGTTCAATGCCAAGTCAAGTTCATTTCTGACATTTTGGAACGTGAGTATGACTGCGACGGTGCGACAGTGTGGGCTGCCGTCGTGTCTAGTCATCAGGCAAAGTCTATGGATTTCGTGTTATTCTCTGAATTTTCACTTCCAAGGAAAAGGAAGAAACATTCTTTTCGTGACTCAGAGCAAACACCTCTTGTGCTTTCAACGCTGAAATTCGATCAGATAATTAAAGTAATTGCAAGCGTGAGATGTGATAATTAACGGTGGCTGGGAAAGCCACTCATTTTATGGACAGAACAATTACAAAGAACGTGCAAATGGGCACAGCTACAACAGGGACCTTACCTAATAAACACAAATATTGTAACCTAATCGTTTGTACCCTTATAATAATCAAAATTCTTTTTTAAAAAATGTGAAAATCATTAATAGGGAAATAGATTGGTCATCCAGGTGAATATTAGGAAAGAGTGCCTTAACTCAGTAGTTTTAGGAAAAATACCCTCTTTTCAAATCAATACACGATTCAAATAAACATTTAAATAATAATATAAAGCAGAAAAGTGCTAGAGACTAGAGCGTATCATCCAGCTGATCTTTGTAAAATTGATTTGACACCAGGAACAGCAGCTCACACCTGTAATCCCAGCACTTGGGGAAGCTGAGATGAGGATCACCTGATGCCGTGTCATTCAAGACCAGCCTGGGCAACATAGGGAGACTTCATCTGTACAAAAAA